AAATAAACACTATCTGTGGTAAAGTCTTGTATAGCATAATGGTCTTAGGCTCCATGGGCTAGAGTTAGTCTAAGACTTCCAGGGGCACTGGGATTTGGTGAGTGGGACATGGTGACAGAGACTCAGGCTCCCACCAGCAGATACATCCCCTTCCACTGAGAGTCTCTGAAAAGGCATCTGCATGCTCCCTGTCATTAGGGAGGCCTGGTCACTGCACAAGAGGTTCCCAAGGCTCTGAGACTTGGCCCCTGAGAAGTGGAGGCTTACTGAAGAGTAGGTTGAGAAGGCAGTTCAATTTCGTCCAGTTCATCTGCACAGGCATCACCCCCACTGGAAGGCCCAGGGGACCCAACAAAGTGCTTACTGCTGCTTCCTCCTCAAACCTCAGGTGCCTGGGAAGAGCAGACCAGAAGCATCAAAGATGAGGTCTCCAATCTGGCACACTGGTTGCAGTCCTGGTCATGTGGGTTTTGGAGCACCATCACTGGCCAAAACAGGCAGAAGTGGGACTTTATCTTGGAAGCTCAAATCACCAATTAGCCTTTGAAGGGATGTTATGACCTAAACTGTGCCCTTCTTCCTACCTCCACAATTTATATGTTGAAGTCCTAACTCCTAGTACCTCCAAATATGGCTGTATTTTAAGACAGTACCTTTAAAGAGGCACCTAAGGTAAAAGGAAGCCATTAGAATGGGCCCTACTTCAATCTGACTGATGTCCTTAACAGAAAAGGAAATCAGAACATACTAAAAGGCAGAGATGGAAGGCAGCCATCTGCTAGCCATGAGAGGCCTCAGGAGAAACCAAACCTACCCCACTTTGATCTTGGACTTCTAGCCTCCAGGAAATAAATTCCTATGGTTTAAGCCATGCAGTGTGTAGTATTTTGCGATGGCAGTTCTAGCAGACCAATATAAGGAGAAGTGGGAAACTGAGAAACTGGATAGCAAACAAATCAGCTCAGGAAAGACTTGAGTCTTATCTCTGATAGGAGAATGGGTCTTTCCTTGGGAGAAAGGCAGGACACAAACAGAAAACCAGCACCATACTCATGAAGCCTAGAAAAAACCTAAAGATTTAGCAGTCTGACAGCAGTCAGAACAGCATGGGGGCTGCGACTAGTTGCTTAGGGAGGTTGAAGTCCTCAATTGTCACAGGCAGCCAACACGCAGTGAGGAGCAGTTTATGACTACAGGAAGCTATGGAACCCATTTTGCACCATGAGTTTGTGAAATCGGGATTAAAAAATTACCTCTTCAGTGTTTTCTCATGCAAACTTTCCTTCTATCATGTGATATTGAGTAAACTAAAACTATTTTCTTCCCTCTGTTTTTCTCAATTAACATCTGGTAGTATACTTGGAGTGCTGTTTCCTGAGTTAAGTAGTTAAGTATGTTAAGGAAACTTGGATCCTTGGTGCTGACCCATCAACACCTTGGGGAGATGTACTTTTTGGACAATTCAAAGGTGCTAGATCCCTAATTCAAAGAGGAACATTTCTCATGTTTGTTCATTCTAGTTCATATTTTCATTTAAATAAATCTTTTAGGTTAAGTTTACACTTTTTAAAAAGAGTTAGTTTTGAGAATTAAGACACAATACTAATACTATAGGAATTGGTGAGGTCTTGACTTAAAGCTTTCTTTGTAATATGATTTCCTTTAGGGTGTATTTTGCTAAGTGAAACCTGTTAAAAAAATTTTGTTAACTAAATTTTTTTCTTAAAATGAAGACTTTTTCACAATGACTGGCACAGATTATCTGCTCAGCAAACAGGAAGCAAAATGGGTGGTTGGCAAGAGTTCATTTTAATCCTAATAATATATTTTGGTGTGGATTTGAAAATAACAGTACATCAAATCTATGATCTCACTTCTAAGCATTGAGGCTAAAAGTCTAATAAAATGTTCAACAACAACAACAAAAAGATTTGGCAGTCTGCAATTCAAGGGAGAAATAATTCTACCTCAGGACTTGCAGATGCAGCTGTAACTCAATGTCATTCACCGTTAAGATGCGTCCCATTTTCCTTGCTTCTATTTGTACTCCCAAAAATACCTTTGATTGTGTGTACGTGTCTGTGTGTGTGTGGTACTGGGGATTTAACCTAGGGTCTTCACAGTGGATTCTGAGTTACAATCCCCAGCCTTTTTTTTTTTTTAATTTCTTAAGACAGAGTTTCACTAAGTTGCTAAACTGCCCAGGATGGGCTCAAACTTGCAGTCTTCTCTCCTCAGTCTACCAAATGCTGGGATTATAGGACTACACTTTCATACCCACCTACATTTGATTTTTTTTCTCACCCATGCCTCCCAGCAGGAGAGATAAAATGATTAAAGAAATTACACCAAGACAGTCCATTGTCCAAATATATCTTCTGAGAGTCTGGGTATAATAAATTACACCATTTTGCACAATATTTTAAATACTGGAATTTCTAGCCCTGTAAAGTCAGTAGGCTGTGGTAACTTTACTAAGGTATAGACATCATAGATAACATCTCCATATCTAAAGCAGTAATTTTTATTTATTTATTTTTTTGGTACCAAGGATCAAACTCAGGACCTTGCGATTCGAGGCAGGCAGCGGAACCACTGAACTAAATCCTTGGACCTCTTTTCTTTTTTCTTTTTTTTGAGACAAGGTCTTGCTGTGCAGTTCAGGCTGGCCCTGAACTCACTCACTATGTAGCCCAGGCTGGCCTAGAACTCATGGAAATCCTCCTCCCTCAGCCTCCAGAGTGCTGAGATTAGAGGTGTGCACCACCATGCCCAGCTTAAAGCAGTAATTTTTCACAACCTTAGAGTCTATCAAAATGGAGAACATAGTTTAATTTTAGTATATGTGGATGGGCTGGGGATTTAGCTCAGTGGTGCCGCCACCTGCCTCGCAAGTGCAAGGTCCTGAGTTCGATCCCCGGTAACAAAAAAAAAGAAAAAATAAATGTAAATTTTAGTATATGTGCTGCCAAAGTGAGCACGACACAGTTTAAACAAATGCCCTAGCCAACTGCAGTAGCATATGCCTATATCCTCAGCTACTTGGCAGGCTGAAGCAGGAAAACAGTTTGAGCCCAGGAATTTGAAATCAGTTTGGGCAACGTAGTGAGACTTTGTATCAATAAATACAGTTTTTTAAAGTTAAATACCTAACCCCCATTTAAAAGTTACTATTATAGTTAGCTAGCATTATATTACTAGAACTATGTCATACTCAGGAGGGTGGCAAGATTAAGGGCTTTGACTTGATGCCAGGTTCCACCAGAAGTGCACTCTCTGGAAAGAATGTGACTACACCCAATGATTCCAAAATGTACCTAACAGGGCCAGGGATTTAGCTCAGTGGTTTCGCCACCTGCTGCGCAGGTGCAAGGACCTGAGTTCAATCCCCAGTACCAAAAACACAAAAACAAACAAACAAACAAAATGTACCTAACAGGGAAGTGAGACAAAGCAAGGAAGTCTACACAGGGTGGATTCATAAGCATATTACCATTGTGAGCAACTATCCTTGATTCTGTGGGGAACCTTTAAACCCTAAAATATGTCATGGAAAGCATAGTCCCACTTGAGACAATATAGCCACCATTAGCCACTAGCTGAATGCTGCTCCCAGGAGTATTAACTCCATAGTGCTTCAAGCAAAAAGAAAGCCTCAAGCATTTATTGACAAGATGGCAGTTGGTAGCCCATGCAGGGACATTCAGTGTCCAAGGGGAAGGGCCAGGGCTCTGATACCTGCTACACACCTGCTGGTTTCCGATTGGCTTCTCTCCCTTTTGGCGCTCAGTAGGTCATCTGATTTTGCCACTTCTCACAATTCTGATGCAGATCTTCTCTTTGCTCCATCCAGAAGAACAAGCATCTTTCTAATGGCCTGTTTGTTCTAAAATGGAACTTTGTTGGTTCTAATTACCAATAGCCAAAAATGTTTGTTCCTTTATGTTTTTTTTGGTTTTTTTTTTTTTGGCTCTTTTCAGTTTATTGCATGTAGGAGTTACACTAGTCCAAGGGAAAGCGGACCCCAAAGGGTTACATTATACAAGCTGTGAGGTTTTTAAACTTGTGACAAGGGACAGAAGGGACATTCTACTCATTGCAAGGAAATCCTCACTTAAGCTTCAATGAGCCACAAGCACTTAAAACCCATGAACCTTCAGCTGATCGTCCTTAGCCAGTCCAATCACTACCAGGAACTGGCATATGTTCTTGCGCTGGTCACCCTGGAGCTGGATTACTTCTCCATATTCTGGATGCTCAATTACAGTACCATCGCAGGCAAATTTCTTCTTAAACGCCTTCACCAGTTTCTTTTTATCATAATCATCAGCAATCCCTTGGACAGTGGTAAGGGTCTTCCTGTCGTTTCTCTGGATTCTTATATGGATATAATCCTCAGTGCTGGCAGGAAGCAGGTCATCAGCTTTACTTGCATCAGCAAAGGGGTCAAAAGAGTGGAAGTTCTGGATAGTTGGACATACGATACAATTCCTTTTCCTCGGTGGAAATGGCCTGTGGAAGGCGGCTGC